TTTTTACTTTTTAATGTTATTCTTTGGTTAGTTAGATTAAAATCTATTCCTGAACTTATAGCCACTGTACAAAGGATGCTTGAAATTTTCATAAAAAAAGATCCTGGATAGAACCATGTATTAACAGAAATGTTCTTACTTATATAATTGTATGATTTAAAAACTTATGACAATTATTTTGTTTTACCATATTTAACCACATTAAATATAATTTCATATAATATTTAACATCTATAGAAAAAAGAAATTAAATAAAGTTACTTAGAACCTTGAATAAAAGTAACAATTTTGATGGAAAGTTTGAATAATCCTGTGTTTTAATAATGTAAAACAGACTATAACATACATGAGAATACTGACTAACCCAGGATCTAAAATAGCAGCATTTTGCTCAAAAAACACACGTCTAAACTGATATCTTAAAATATATGCTGAAATAAATAAAGGTGGATGTAAGTCAGGCTAAGAGATTTTAGTACTGGATTTATCAAGTATTCAAAGAATTTTCCAAAGCTGTACATTAATGTCATCTGCATATTTTCGTAATCAATCTGTAATTTTATCATACTATCCAGATGATTCTATATGTCATTCAATGAGAATAAATAAGGCTTAAGTTTAGAGATTGGCAGTTTAACTGAAAAACTGACGTTTTTTTGTTTTATCTTCACACCATGCAACCACTTTGAATTTTTACAAAACCAAAATCATTCGGTTTAGTGCTATCACTACTGAGTCACCATATCAAAAGAAACACTATTGAAAAAGACTTTCAGATGTTAATAAAATTAACCACTTTATGCCATTGTAAGAGAAAAAGATTGAACAAAAATATGTTAAAACCATTTTAATTAACTGATTTTAGGAAAAAATGTGAAATCTATTTGTTTACAAAAGAAATGAAGAAAAAAAAAAAGGAAATACATGATGTCAGAAATCTATTTGTTTCAGTTTTCAAAAAAAAAACTTTTTGTGGTAAAATTAAGTTAACAACAAAATAGCGAGTGAAAATAAAAAAACTTGCCAGTTCTGTCTTAATGTTAAATTTTATGAAGTTATATTTTTTTGTAAAGGTTTTCCAGCACGCCAACCATGAAATAAAGTTGTTGTAAACACGAAAAATGAATGAAGATTTTTTTTTTTTTATGAATAAATTTTTTGATCTAGGGAATGCACCTAAATTAGATATTAAGAATAATTAAAATAGTTCTTAATTTCACTTTTTAAAATGTGTATATTTTCAGATATGCAAGTTTATAGTGTAGTAAATTTGTTTGTTTTCTACAAATAAAATTATTTTTATCTAGCGAAAACACAAAAGTTAAAATAAAAAAATAAAGAAAATCCAGTAAAGAAAAACATGTTGAATATATTTAGACAAACAAAATTTTTAGTGCATAAAAATAATTTTTTTCAGCCATTTAAAATAAAAAACAGAAGTTAATAAGTTATTAAATTTTTTTTGAGTGCAGAAAGAATTAAAAAAAGGCCAAAAATTTTATATTTTTTCTTTGAAATATAAAATTTTTGCAGACAGATTAAAAAAAGAACTCAGCAAAAATAAAATAGGATGATGTCTATCTAAAATGTGGAAGATAATATTTGTAATATTGAAAGATGGACAAATTTTAGGACAGTGTTTTCAATTTTTTTTGTATAACCCTAAAAAAAAAATATGTCTCATTTTTTTTTTAAAAAACAAAGTTTACCGTTTACATTTTATTTTCATCATAGTAATTAAAATAAACACAACCAAAAGAATATTTTTTATTATTTAGAAATTTTTTTTTGAAATTAGTGCCAAAAAAAAAAAGTGACCACTATCTATTTTTTCTCTAGCCAAAACTGCATGAGTAGAATGTGCATTTATTTTTTTCAAGCCTTCTTTGTCGAAAACAATTAAAAAATTAAATAAAAAAAAAAATTGCATTTGAATTTAAACAGTAATATTGGTTATCCTTTTAATAGAGATGTTTTTAATTATAATGAAAATTTAAATTGGAGACACATTTTGATTTGATCCCCGTCCTTTTTAAAGACAATAAATTTCCCAGAGAAAATTTTGAAAAAAAGTCAGGTTTGTAGTTCAAATATTTTTGCTTTTATGCAATTGCTGTGGCATTTTTTCTTTTGCAAAAAACAACAAATCTTTCTTTTCTAACCATAATCATTCATCTTTCTAAAAAAAATCTTTCAATCTCAAATCCAGCTTTTCATAAAAAAAAGGGAAAATTGTTCTTTTCTTTTTTCTTTCTTTTTTTTTTTTTTATTTTCTTTTTCTTTCTTTTTTTTTTATTTTTTTCTTCCTTTTTTCTTTGACTTTTTTTTTTCTTTCAAAAAATTTTTTTTTTTTCTTTTCTTTTCTTTCTTTTCTTTCAAACTTTCTTTTCTTTTTTTCTTTTCTTTTTTTCTTTCTTTCGATTTTTCTTTTTTTCAAATTTTTTTTTTCTTTTTTTCTTCTCTTTTTTCTTTTTCCTTTTTTTCTTTTCTTTTTTTTTTTTCTTATTTTTTCTTTTTTTTGAACAAAATATTTCATCTATTTTCTTTTCAAAATTTTTTCTTTTTTTTTTCTTTTCCTTTTTTTTTTTTTTTTTCTCATTTTTTTTTTTACCTTTTTAAAATCTTTTAATTTTTATATCTTTTCTTTTTCTGTTTAATTAGTTTTACAAAAATTAAATTTTTGGCATTGGTTTTTTCTGTTTTAAGTTTCATTTTCTTTTTTATTTGAAAATTGACATTTCCCTTTCATCAATTTTTTTTTTTCCCAAAATGTATAGTTTTTTTTTTTTGCCTTTTTAAGTCTTATTTTTTTTTTTGGTAACAGAACTTTAAACTCTGTTGCGCTACGCCCATTTGCCTATAATTATTTCAGGCATATCTGTTCTTCTTTTATCATTTTTAAAAAATGTTTGATGAAGCCAATCCTTAAATTCTTTGAACTAAAGGATAAAATTAATCATCAAAATGAATAGATTGTTACAAATTTTTGGGCATTTGGTTGGATACATAGTTTTGTTCAAAAAAACATGACCTGTTTTTCTAGTAAAATTGCCTTGTGTTAATCATTTTCCAAATGAATCGTGCTTTAGTTTAATTTTTTAATACCCTTTTCTTTTTAATGAACACCAATATAAAAAAACCTTTTTTTATTAATATATTGAAGCTGGACAAAAATTACCTGTGACAAACTGGAAGGATCATGTAATTCCTCTAGAACAACATGAGTTGAGTTTTGAATAATTGGGACAAAAAAAAAAATGCAATTCTTTTTTTACATACAAATCTAAAACAATATTGTAAAAAACAAGAAAACGATATTGTTAAATACCTTAATATTTTGGAAAATAATCAATCTGGTATAAAATGGAAAAATTTGATCAAACTTTTTGAATCTTTTATGAAATATAAAAAATCAAATTACCTTCAAAAAAAAAGCTTATTAATAAATTTGAGATTTTTTTTTTTTTGGGATTATTTTTTATAAACGGAATAGCAAAATAAATTTGTTTCCTAAAAAAACTACAAAAATATAAAAAGACAATGAGGAATCATAGGAAATTTGTTGGTATTTTAAATTATTGGACATTTTTGGATTTTCAAATACCTCAAATTTTTTATTTTAATATAAAAAGTAAAAACAATTAAATGGCCTTTATTTCTACACTATTTTCTAATCATTCACTGTTGTAAATCAGGCAAAATTTTAACACATTGACATCTTTTATGTACAAATAGTTTTTATTTTCTGAACTATGGATTCAAAAAGAGTGTCTGAAAAATTAAAAAATTTAAAAATTGATTTGGATTATAAACAAAACTGAAAATAAAATAATTGTAAAAAAAATCTGTTCTGAAATCCGGAAATTTTAATTGAGCTGAAGAGTACTATTCACATTGATTTCTAATAAAGGTTTTTTAAAGATGGGTTGAGTTTTTTCTTGTTTGAGCCAAATTAAATTTTTTTTTTTTTCAATTTTAATTTAATTTGTTTATTTTTTTAAACTTAGTTTTATTTTAGCATCTACTCATTAAATAAGTTTATGCTTAATTAAAATTAAATTTTTTTGAAAAGTAAAAAGGTGACATCATGTAAATTTATAACTTTTAATTTTTAAATAATTGTTTAAAAATAATTTTTAATTTTTTATTATTTGTTTCAAACACAAATGTTAAAAAAAAATTATTTTTCTAATTTGTCATTTAGATATGTCACTGAGTATGTGTTGATAAGAATATTATTTATTTATCCATGTTTCAAAATATTAGACTTTTCAAGCCAAAATAATTTCCTTAATTGACCAGAAGTCCAAATGTGATGGAAAAAAAAAAAAATGAAAGATACAATCAGTTTTAAACTGTCTGGATCCACAATCAAGGATAATTTTTCATTTGTTTATCTTGCTTGAAACACGTTACAAGAATTAGGTTGTATATTTTTGTAGAATTGGTTTTATTTGTTTCTGTATTTGAAATATATTACGGGTTTTACCAATTCATTAAGGCCAGAAATTTTAACAGATGATACTTCTAATAGAAGACATAGAAATATTAAAATTAGAAAGATATGGAAAGCAAAAATGAACAACATAATTTATTTGTTCCCACATTTAAAAATAAAATAAAATAATTATTGTTTCAATTTATGGTATCTATAAAGTGGTTCCCACAGAATTGCTTCAGTTCAATCCTTTGTTAGAAATATGTAATGTTCAAAGTTGTTAATTGAGAAGCAAAAAAAAAACCATTTTGGACATATTAAATATCGTCTAGTCTATCTGAGATTATTTTTGAAAATTTGGAAGGAGAATCATTTTAATAACTCGAAAAGAAACTCTCTGTATTTTTTTTTTTTTACTGAAAATCCCACTTCCCAAATTTTGTCTGTCAAGTTGAAATAAAAAGGATAAAAAAAATGTCCGAAGAAACTTTTGATTGATTTTAAATTTTAAATCAATACATATCTTAGGGAGGCAGTTAAAATTTTTTTTTTTTTTTATTTCTTACTTGATATCAGCCTGGAAACATTCATCAAGCAATTGGTCTGCTTCATCAAGAACAAAAAGACGGATGCTTTTAGTTTTCAGATAATTCTGCTCAATGAGAAATTTGATCCGGCCTGCAAATAGAAAGTAGAAAAATAGTCACAAAATATCATTTAATATCTGACTAGTATATATTTTCAGTTACTTTTTAGTGCAATTACTCATACTATCAGACCATAGCTCTTAATATTAACAGTAATATCATCTTGAATTTTTATATGATGAAGCATTGTCAAGCATTATTCATTTTTCACTAGGATTTCTTTCATTTCCACTAGTAGTATTAGTAGTAGTAATATTGTCTGGAATTTGAATTAGATGAGGCATTGACAAACATTATTCATTTTTGACTAGGATTTCTTTCATCTTCATTTCAATTGCTTTATTTCCACAAGCATGACCTACAATCTGTTATTAAATGGGGCAAGGAGTGGCTTGTTAATTTTAAAGTTTCAAAAACAAAAATGCTCTCTTTTAATCCTGTGAGAGAACCCTTTTTATCTTCCATCAGTATGGCTGATGCTAATCTTCAGGAGAGTGTCTCATTGTGCCTTCTCAGACTAACATTTTCACCTGACATGAAATGGAAATATTATATTCAATCAATTGCTAAGTCTGCAGCTAAGAAATTTACTTCACTCTGTCATGCTAGACAATTTTTCTCATCAGAATCTATCTTACATATTTATAAGTCTACCATTTGTTCTTGCTTTGAATATTGCTGCCACATCTGGTCTGGTGCTTATACTATATATATTTAGAGATTCTTGATAAAATCCAAAGAATCTGCAATGTCATTTGTCTTGACCTGGCATCTCAGCTTCAGCCACTTTCCCATGGCTGTATTGCAGCTTCCCTGTGTCTTTTCTAGGGCAATTGTTCTAATGAACTTTCCACCATGGTACCTAGATTTTATGAATTTAAGTGCAGTACTAGTTTTGGCAGCTATTTACAGTTAAAATGTCTAGATGTAACCATAAGTTCTATGCTAACAGTTTCTTCTATTGCACTTCTTGCTTGTGGAACTCTCTTCAGGCCTCTTGTTTCCCGGTCAACTTTGATTCAAAAATTTAAGTGCAATGTCAATCCCTATCTTCTGTCGGTCTATATCTCTGATATGAGGTATTATGATTATTTACATTATTCGGACTGTTATCCTCATCTTCATGGCCATATTCACAACATTTCAGCTGTTGTACGCTCCAGCCTTCTTCAGGTGATTGGAATTTCAAACCAAATCCTTTATTTTGTCCACTGAGGTAGATTGTTCTAGTTCCATGTATCATGCCTCTTCCAGATGTCTCAGTTATTTCCCTTTAACTCAACTCTCCAAGATTTTTGGTTCACCACTGCTGTAGCTTGGTACTGAACTCACAACTCTTTGGGTTTATTCACTGGATCTAACCAACATCTTTATTGGTTCAAAATTCCAATCACCTGAAGAAGGCCGAAGTGTACAATGGTTGAAACGTGAATATGGCAATGAAGATGAGGATAGCAGTCTGTTAATGTAAATAGCTTTCTTCTGTCTTCTTAATTCGTATTATTTTATTTTCCTCTCTTCTTAATAGTAGTTTTTCTCATATTCACTAACACTCAGTAACCCTTTGTTGCTTTATTGCCTTGCTTGGGATAAAATGATTAAAAAAAAATGTAGTAGTAATATTATCTGGAATTTTTACTAAATGAAGCATTGTAAACTATTATTCATTTTTCACAAAATGTGTGTGTGTGGCCTGAAGATTGTGTTTAAGCATGAAACAGACGGTTGCCACAGGGTGTTGACCTCAATGTCCACTTTTATATTTATATACTCTTTAATCCATAAATATAAGATATCTTAAAACCTAATTTTTATCACTCTTTCAGTCATGTAATTATAAGTTTAGCTAATGTAATATCTTTCTATATTGTGGCTTATTTTTGATGAATAAAACTTTTCATTATTATTGTATTGGTGTGTTTCACCTACAATTTACAAATACTTATATCTTCAGTTCAAATTTTTGATTTAATCTATATTGTAACCGATATGAACTGCTATGTTATTTTTTTATCAGTACAATATTTTACATAATTGACACAGTATAAGCATTTTTGTATTGAGGTGGGTAAACACCCAAGCGGACAATCCATTTGTGGAAATCCGTGGGGACAAAGGCAGGGCTAAATGATATTCAGTATTTTCGAGAATTTTTTTCTTTTTTAAATTGCAGAATGGCCATTTTCCAAAATAAAAAATTAAAAAAAAAACTGGATCAATTTGTCCACATTCATACCTGGCGTTCCAACAGCAATGTGACACTTTTTCAAATTCTCTTTATCGTCTGCCACAGATATTCCACCTATAAAAGTGGCACAAGTCAGTTCCTCAAATCCACTACCAATACTCGTGATAACTTGCCAAATTTGATAGGCAATTTCTCTTGTGGGCGCCAACACCAAAACCTGCCAAACAAACACAGGACTGTTTAATTAAAACGGTAATAAAACCATAAGATTTTCTAAATGAATAATGACAGGGACAATTACTTAGGTACTATAATTACCATGTGCATGTCTGTGTGTGCAACTGGAAGCCTATACTTTTAAAAATAGATGAGGTATGCCAAATACTAGTTTAAAAGCCACACTTTAATTAATAGTTTTTTTTTTTACCTTTAAATGGCTGACTAGAAAATAACACTGACATTTTCTGCTTTTGTTTATAGAAACTGCAGAATACACAAACATCTATTTGTACTTACCTCTGCACCTATAATGTGCACGTCTCTAAAATATAAAGAGACTACTTCTACAAATTATTACACAAAGATCCATTGATGGTTTGTACATACTTTTTCATTACTCTAAAACTATGAATACAGGTTACTCATTGGTTTAGTAACTGTTCTAATGAGCTTTCTTCTTTGATACCTTTAAGAATTTAAGTATGATACTTGAGTGGTAGTTAGGTCTCATCATTTTACAGTTGAAATGGTTAAATGTAACTAAGTTTTATGCTAACAGTTTCTACTCTTGCACTTCTCGCTTGTGAAACTCTCTTCCAGCTTCATGCTTTCCTGTGAACTATGATCTTCAAAAATTTAAATGCAACATCAAACATCATCTGTTTTCTTAATACTTGTTCTTTTTTTGTTCTTGTGCCTTAATATTTTCTTTTACTTATATTCTTTGTCATTCAGTAACTCCTTGTGTCTAGTAGCTTTATTTCTTTACTTGGGGTGAAATGATTACAAAAAAATAAATAAAGATGCCACATTTATTAAGCTAATGGATTAATATATTGATTTATTAGGGCTTTAAAAACATTTTTAAAGTATATATAAACATATTAGAGATGGGCATTTTAACCAAAAAAAAACAACTTTTCCAGTTTCATTTTCACACTGTGAAACCGCATCGAAATTTTTTACGAAACTGAAATCGTTCGGTTTTTGTTTAAGTGCTATCATCACTACTAAGTGACCATATCCAAAAAAAGCACTATTGAAAAAAACTTTCAGATGTTAATAAAATTAAATTTTATCAACATTTATACCATTGTAAAAGAAAAAGATATCTTAAAATCATTTTTAATTGACTAGTTTTAGAAAATAAATGTGAAATCTATTTGTTTACAAAAAAAATGAAGAAGAAAAAAGAAAATAGAACATGATATCTGAAATCTATTTGTTTCAGTTTTCAAAAAAGAAAAAAACTTTTTGCGGTAAAATTAAGTTAACAACAAAATAGTGAGTAAAAATAAAAAAATAGTTGTTACTTTCGTCTTAATGTTAAATTTTATGAAACCGGATTTTTTGTAAGGCAAGGAGGGTAATTATTTTTTATGAATAAATTTGTTTTTTTTTTATCTATGAAATTCACCTAAATTAGATATTAAGAATAATTAAAATAGTTCTTAATTTCACTTTTAAAATGTGTATATTTCCAGATATACAATTCTCTAGTATAAAATTAATTGTTTTCTACAAATAAAATTATGTTTCTATCTAGCGAATGCACCTAAAATGAGATATTAAAAATATAAAGTAAGTTTTAAAATGTGTATATTTTAAAACCTGCAAGTCATTTTTTTTAAACCCAAAGTAAAAATTATTCTTTTTTAGCCACTAGTCAGTGTCAGGCAGTAGTTTCAATAATTTGAAAATTCTTTTAACACACATTTAGTTGCTTTTTTTTTTCTTTCTTCATAATTTTTTTTAAGGAATTTGCTTCCTTGGGTCAGAGAAGAAATGAACATCATCTTTGTTATAGCTCAAGGTGTCTTCTAACTGAGTGTACAATTTCAAGAATATTGATAAAAATTAGTCACTTGGATTTTGCAAAACAAAGTAACATGTAAAATTTAGTCTCGAAAAAATCATATTTCGAATTTTCGGCTGTTCGAAGCAAAATATGTTCAAATACCGTTTTAACTTGCTGTAAAAAAATAATTCAATGAATAAAAGCACATACAATTTATATATTTAGAGAGATTATTTTCTTTTCTTTCCAGCTATATGAATATTTTTAAGATTGGACCATAAATACACAAGAAGTTGCGAGTTGAACGGACTAAGTTGCAAATTTATCAATCTCAAACAGAATCAGTTATCAACTGTAAATGTTATCCTTACACAAGGAAATGAATGGCTTCCTCAGAAAGCAAAAATACTAAATTAAAAACTGAAAAAATGAATCAAAAATCACGGTATCAAAGGAAAAAAACAGAAACTGATACTGAAACATAAATTGCCAAACCAACCAACTCTAAATATACAAAAATATATAAAATGAGAGTAGGAAAAAGCACGAGGAAAAAAAGAAAAAAAAACATTACTTACAGTAAAGTGGTGGATTGAAAAAATTTATGACAACAAAAAAAGAGGCTAACCTGTTATTGCTCCTTGCTCTTCAGAGACAAATGAGGAAATAAAACAAACATGTGCACCATGACTAAAAAAGGGGAGGAAAAATTTATGATTAGAGAATCAACAGCAGTCATTTTTCTTCTTCTCCCTTTGTTTATATATTGTAAAGTTTTAGAGAGAACACTCCACCTAGCGAGCAGATAAGTGAGGTGAGTTAATGCCCTTGGCACAGTAGGGACAACCAAGATCGATTAAGGCCCTTGCCACAGTTAGATACCAGTTCAGTCCAGAGAGGAAGTGAGAGCAACATGTGCTGCAACTAATGTCCCTCCAACTCACACCATGGGGAACAAAGGTATTCATAGATGGTAGTTGACCACCTCACCTCAATTCAAAAGGTAGTAGTGATCTTGTAGAGTGTAAATCTTACTAACTGTAAGTACTATGTTTATGTCATGTTATAATATTGTTGTTTTACATTGTTACATTTAATAAAAACTGTAAAATCTATTTTGACGCTTCTTTACTTTTCTCTTTTAGTAATTTGTATTTATTCTTGTTTGGAAGATCTTTGAGATAGAGACCAGTTATAAAATAATATCCCGTCCTGAGTATGATGACAAACTACATCCACGTCCTGGGTAAGACGATAAACAACGTCCAACAGCAACACCTCTGATCAGGAGGTTTTGAGGAGCATGGAACCACTTCTTCATTGCTGGTGTTCCCAGGTCTACCCTGACCTGGGGTGGTAGCACTTGTTAGGGTCCCAGCTATGGGCAAATAGTTAACCCTGAAAGTAGGGTAAAAACACTATGAAAGTGTAAAAACAGGTTCTAATACCAGAAATACTTTGTAAAAAAAATTATTTCCAGCAATAAATTTTTGAAGAAAAAAAAAACATTACCAACAATGTTTTTTAAAAAATAAATATTACTAGCAATACATTTTTGAAAAAAATTATTACCAGCAATACATTTTTGAAGGAAAAATACTACCAGAAATAAATTTTTTGACAAAACAAAATACCAGCAATAAAAATTTTGTTGGCATTAAATAACCCATTGAGGTTGATATGCTGTAAAACAAACCAAACCAAACTAAAATAATATCCCAACAATGTACACTTTTAAAATATGTTTTTAAAACCCTAATAACATTTTGTACCCCATTTATTTAAACTGTTATCCTTTTCTTGGTTGTTATAAGTACAATCCTTGTTCAGGAACTTGTCATATTCAATTACTATTATTCACATGTTTTTAAGTTGAACCATCTATCCAATCGACAGTACCAGAATATTCTCATTCTGTTGTCCACGCTAAGGGGAAATAACTATTATTAGTTTTTGTTATTTTTCCCTTTTCTTAATCTTTGTGATTCTGCTTTTGGTCATTCTACTTGCCTGAAACAAGTGAATCTAGCAGAACAATATAATTATCAATAACAATAATGAGTTATTTCTCCTTATTAGGGATTATGTAACAAGAACAGTCTATCTTTGTAGATTGAATAAAGGGTTTGAGTCAAAATTCTGAGTGAAATATAACAAGTGTCTGAAGAAGGCCAGTAGTGATAATGGCCAAAATATTGTGACTATAATAACCAAGACAAAGAGAACAGTTCTAATAAATCATTGAACAATAATTCCTCATCTTAGAAATGCAAATAGAAATTACCAACTGATTAATGAGCTTGTCACACATATGGGACAGAGGGGAACATTGAATAACATACCTAATGAGCTTGTGTAAATGGAAGACATGACAGGGACTAGGATGGATAGTAAGGAGATAACCATTACTTAGAACTAGGATAGGAAGTTGTGGAGAGCCATGATCAACTGACCTAATGAGCTTGTGTAAATGGATGGCAGGACAGGGACTAGGATGGATAGTAAGGAGACAAACATTACTTAGAGCTACAACAAATAGGAAGTTGTGGAGAACCATGACAAACCTATCCAATGAGTTTGTGTAAATGGATGACAGAAAAAAGACTGAGAGGGGTAGTAAAAAAACAACCATTGCTTAGAGCTATAACAGATAGGAAGTTGGGGAGAGCTATGATCAACCTATCTAATGAGCTTGCGTAAATGGATGACAGAACAAAGATGAGAGGGATAGTAAGAAACAACCATTGCTTAGAGCTACAAAGGACAGGAAGTTGGGGAGAGCTATGATCAATCTAATGATTATGTAAATGGATGGCAGGTCAGGAATGAGGAAGCATAGGGACAGACATTTCTTAGAGCTACAAAGGATAGGAAGTTGGGGAGAGCCATGATCAACCTATCTAAAGAGCTTGTGTAAATGGATGGCAGAACAGGGACTAAGAGTAATAGTAAAGAGACAAATATTGTTCAGAGCTACAAAGGTGGGGAAGTTGTGGAGAGCCATGATTGTCCACATCTTGAAAGCATCCAGCACATAAAAGAATTCTAACAATGTTTAACCATTGCTTCTGAAATACAAATGGTGTGTCAAAAGGATAGTTATTCCCTTGACACCACTATTACTGTATACACTTTTGACTCCCTCAGTAATGTTTATTTACAAGATTATAGAAATATGTGAGCCAAGTACAATGCAATGT